AATGGCCTGCTCTTGGTCTATATTAATGATTGTCATAGAAACCAATCTGGTTCACTTATGTCCTTTAGTGAAGGAAATCTGCTGACCTTACCTGGTCTGGCCTACATGTGACTTCAGACCCACAGCAATGTGGTTGACTTTTAACTGCCCTCTGGGCAATTAGGGATGAGCAATAAATGCTGCCTAGCCTGTGGTATGCATATCCTTTGAATAAACCAGCAATGTCACACAAACAACAATAAGCAGATAATTTATTTTCAATGCGAAGTAAATATCGCTCAGGGTAGCAGGGGCAAACTCTCTGTGAATACTGCCCTCGGATCACTTATATACTCCTCAGAGGGTAACACTGGAGTCTTGGGATAACATTGCACACAGGCCGCTTGTACTACTTTAGAGTGCCAGTTACAGTCAGTGTTCAGATCTCTGGGGTAGGTTTTGAACCCACAACGTCTTAGTGAGAGTGCCACCACTGAGCCAGAGTCAAACCTGCCACCAACCAACACTGGCACCGAAAGGGGTTTGGGAAATGAAGTAAATGAACAGATGCATCAGACAGTCACATTCATTGGCTTTCCACAAGATCCCTTGTGGACAGAGCGATGGATGCAAGGGTAAAGATATAAAAGATCTGCCTTTTGTTAGCATCTAATTTCTAAGGGTCCCTATTTCTGTCTGTAAGCTTTCGCAACACGGCCTCGAAATAATATGTCGGTCGATAGCACATAGACCTTGTGAACTTGCAGCACTGAGCTGCTTTATCAGAAGCACAGTCTAATCTGTCATCTCACTCAGTAGTACAGAAGCAATTTAATTCTAATCTCCAGGAATGTGGCTGAGCTCAGGAATTCCTGAAGAGACAGTAGCCCATTCACAGAGGCCAATCCAGATGGTGCTTTTAAAAATAAAAGATAATTGACTGATAAATATCATCAGTAAATTATGTGGAGATTTTTTTTGGTGCATATGCCACAAACAGGGCTTGCAATGTTTTATACCCCTTCCCCAGTCTGTGATGACTCTCTCTTCCCATTACCCCAGACATTCACCATCACAGGGTACTACTCGTGGATCCTGGCCTTCCCTGTGATGTGACCCCTTGCTTTGGCAAAAGGCTTCATTATACCTGCGTGACTGTAGAGTTAGAATTAAACTTTTGGAGAATTCTGCTCTTATTTCATCCATTCATGAGATGAAGGTGTCTCCGCCTAGGCCAGTATTTATTGCCCATCCCTATGTCCAGAGGGCAGTTAAGTGTCAACCACATTGCTGTGGGTCTGGAGTCACATGTAGACCAGTTAGACCAGGTGCTCCTTCACCCACCCACACAAGTAAGATACGCCTGGAATTTTCTTCAGGGGAACTGGATGGAGGGGAAGATGAGGAGGAGCTCTAGCCTTCTTTGGAGATTTGACCAGTGCCACGTCTGTACAGGGCATGCGTGGCACAAAGCAGCCACACTGAGTTTAAAATCCATTTGTCGATTTATTTCAATTTTCAAAAATTGACGGATTCGGCCAATGTGGGATTAGCATTCCCACCCCGTCCTTTCCCCTCCCACCTCTCTCCTCCCCTTCCTTAGCTTCTACAAATTGGCATTGTTTCATGTTTCTTGCTTTCCCTCAGCAAGGCTCTTCAATGCTCCAATTTGCCCTGTGTTCTTAGTGCTAACACAGTTAACACTGGTTATGTATAACGTCTAGGGATGGGCAGGCAGTGATGTAATGGCACCAACGCTGCCCGTGCAAGATCCTGTGTATCCACTGGGAAGACACACCAACATCAGGATCCTGACCAGGCCAACATCCCCAGCATCAGGGTACTGACCACCCTTGATCGGCTACAATGGGCTGTGCACATCATCTCCATGGCTGACACGAGACGCCCCGAGCAGGTGCTCTACTCCCTGAAACAGCAGGCAAGCCCCAGGTGGACAGGGGAAGAGTTTCAGTGATACCCTCAAGGCCTCACTGGCGAAGTGCAGCATTCCCACAGATACCTGGGAATCACGGGGGCAAGACCGTCCAAAGTGGAGGAGGAAGGCATCGAGCACCTCGAGACTTGCTGTCAGGAAAAACAGAAGCCGGGCAAAAACAGCGAGAGAAATGCGCTGCCACACCAATACCCCACACCCAGAGCCTGTGGAAGCCCCATTGGGCTGTACAGCCACCTACTGACTCACCGTGAGAGTGGAAGAGAGTCATCCTCGTCTGCGAGGGACTGCCGATGAGATGAGATAGTAATGTGCTGGACTGGTATTCTAGAAACTCAGGCTAATTCTGGGGATATTGGTTTGAATCCCACCTGAGCAGCTGGTGACTTTTTGCATTCAATAATGAAAGAAAGGATAAATCTGGAATAAAGAGCCAGCCTAATGGAGATCATGTAATTATTGTAAACTGTTGTAAAAAAAAATCTGGTTTATTATTGCCTTTTAGTGAAGGAAATCTGCCATCCAAAAGTGACTCAGTTTACAGCAATATGGTTGACTCATAACTACTCTCTGGGCTATTTGGGATGGATAATAAATGCTGGCCTAGCCCGTATTGCCCACACTCTAAACAAGATTTCTTTTTAAAAAAAGAGCTAACTGTTGTAGTGTATTGAATATCACATTGTGTATTTTATCCACTTGAGGCTACCATACATACACATGACCGCACAGGGAGTCTGCTTGGAAGTCAATCTTAAGAAATAAAGGATTCAAGTTAAACAACTTGCTCAGTTCTGATTCTAAATGTCTCTGGCTGAATGTATGACTGTTTCTGTCCTACGAAGTTAACAACTGTTTAACAGTCCAATGTTGTACTGCAGATCAACATGTAATTTATCAGCTAGCCAGAACGCCAAGAGAAAAGGCAAACTCAGTCACAAACACCATTTCTCAGGCCTGAAGGGTGATCTTATGCAAAATTATCACCGCAATGTGCAACCCTTCAAAATCACTGAGCTGGCTGCAAATCACCTTGGGATATCCTGCAGTCAGTGCAGGTGCTATTGAAATGCAGTTTCTTTCTTTATAACCAGGAGTGGGAAAAGGTAATATCCACAAAGTTGTTGCAAATTAAACTGTGACGGTAACCATGATATAGAGGTGCCGGTGTTGGACTGGGGTGGACAAGGTCAGAAATCACAAAACACCGTGTTATATCCGACACAGATAGTAGGAACTGCCGATGCTGGAGAATCTGAGATAACAAGGTGTAGAGCTGGATGAACACAGCAGGCCAAGCAGCATCAGAGCAGCAGGAAAGCTGACGTTTCGGACCTATATCCGACAGGTTCATTTGAAAACACAAGCTTTTGGAGCCTGGCTCCTCCTTCAGGTGTTGGCGAGTGAGGCAGTATCAGACACAGAATTTAGAAGTAAAAGATCAAACGGTCACACCCAGGATGTATTAAACAAACCTAAGAGGCTGCTAAATCTTTAATCAGTTAGAAGGTTTGAATTGATTAAGATATATTTGTAAATCCCCGTATTCCTTTCAAGTCACTACCCTGAGAGAACTAAAGGTTTTATCAGTGTAAAGAAGAGGTGACATTTTAGGGCAGACAATGCATGTTAGGTGTGAGGCCTTGTGTAAAGTCTGTTTGCATTTTGATTTGGAGTCAGACTGGTTTTATTTCTAAAGTAAGAATTTATAAATCGCCACATTGAGTGACTGTCTATAAATTGTGTGCTTTTTGAACAAAATAGAATATATCTGCAAATACAAATTCACCCCAAAGATTTACGTGTGTGTGTGTGTGTGTGTGTGTGTGTGTGTGTGAAGGAGAGTGAGAGAGTGTGTGTGTGAGGGAGACGAGTGTTTGTGTGTGTGTCTCTCTCTCTATCTCTCTCTCCGTGTCCCCGCCCCACCCACACATTCTCTCTGTCTCTTCCCGTGCCCCTACCCACACACACACACACTCTCTCTCCCCCCGCCCTCCCCCTCCCCAAACACACACACACACACACACACACACACTCTCTCTCTCTCTTTCTCTCTCTCTCTCTCGCTCCCTCACACAATCTGAAAGCCTGTGGACTGTAACCTGGTGTTGTGTGATTTCTGACCTTGCGACGGTAGGACAAAACACTGGTAAGTCATAAATTTCAGCCTGGATTCAGATACATACACAGAGCGGTCCATGCACAGAATGAGGCTAAGTGTTCTGGAATCAAAAATACTGCAATGGGGTTGGGTAGTGTGAGTGTGGGGTCATTGGAGATGGTTCAATTAGACCGTCTACATCTGTAAGGATGATGTGATCAAAGAAAGCTGGCGAAATGTCTTGGCCCCCAGTCAGGTTAAATGCCATCAGACTCTTGCCGATTCCTTATTTAATGCAAAGCTGTCTTAGTTGAGTTGAAAATTGGAGCAGTTTCTTTCAGTCTGGTGCAAGTATCGTTTACAAACCATTCAAATTTCATAGGGTTCGAGCGTCTAGGTAAGTCAGTGTCTTACAATAGCTCTATCTCTCCTATCTTTCTCTCTCTCTCTGTCCCTGGCCAGTTTATGACAATCTTGTGAACATGAACAATAACCAGAGAAATGAGGTGGACACCTAATCACTTCTGTGAGCGGCCTAGCTGCTAACAGCCTGTCACCTCATCCCTAGGGGCTTAAACCTGTACTCCCCACGCCCCTCTAATGTGTGACTCGTCGAATCTATAGTAAGTCAAACTGCTTCTGAAGTAACTAGAAACATGAAGGAGGATGTTGGACAGCTGGAAAAGAAAAAACAGTGTCTATTCAGCCAAGAACTGTGGGAGTTTACTGTCATAAATGCTGGCCTGGACAGTGACGCCCACATCCCGTGAATGAATAGAAAACTGAATTTAAAGAAAGTTTTGTGATTTTGTCAGCCGCTTCCATTATGGACCTCCATTCTTCACTGATATTGTTAACTGAAGCTAAGAACTGGGATTTGTTTAGACTGCCTGGTGTTGGATAGTGTTGAGAGTGAAAGGTAACGGGCCATGAAGAGGAAATGCATAATTCAAACGGCGAGCTTACCATACAGTTTCTGAATGGCCATCTTGTCATCCCAGCTGAGGAGGAAGTCTCGGCCCAACTTTTTGTAAAATGGAGACATCAAGGCGTTTTTAACAGGAGAGTGCTCAAGGCCCAGGGTGTGGCCAATCTCGTGGGCCGTGACGATGAACAGGTTCCTCCCTTTGCCCCGGTTGAGAGACCACCTCTCGTCGTTGTCAAAGTGAGCTTCGCCTCTTCTGGGGAAAAAGGCATGTGCCAAGGCACCACCTGCAACAGAACACAGAGAGTAACCTAAAATACAGGGAGGAATTGCCAGGATCACCCTGTAATGCAGATGTGAAATAGGATGGTATGAAGATTGAACTCAGGTAGTGCTGCTCTCGTGGGAGGTGGTGGTGGTGGTGCAGCGATCATGTGAGTCATCCAGAACCCCAGACTGAGGTTCTAAAGGCACAAGTTCAAATCCCACCCTGACAGATGGTGAAATTTGAATTCAATGAGAATCTGGAACACAAAGCTGACGGTAGAGTTATGGAGGCTTACAGCACAGAAAGTGGTCCTTCAGCCCATCAAGGCTGTTCCAGTCAAAAACAACCACCTAATTATTCAAACCCCATTTTCCAGCACTTTGGCATCGCAAGTGCAGATCTAAATATTTCTTCAATGTTATCAGAGTTTCTCACCCTTTAAGGCACTGAGTTCCAGATTCCCACCACCCTCTGGGTTTCCTCATATCCCGTTTAAACTTCCTGCCCTTTACCTTCAATCTATGCCCTCTGTCCCCTTCATTGACAGTCACTGATCTCTCCAACAAGGGGAATAGTTCCTTCATGTCTAACCTACCATGCCCCTCATAATTTTATACATCTCTATCTCAGTCTCCTTTGCTCCCAATCTGTCCAATCTCTTTACATAACTAAGACTCTCCAGACCTGACAACATCCTAGTAAATCTCTTCTACACCCCCTCCAGTAAAGTCACATCTCCCTATAATGTGGAATCAATGTCAATTGTCAGAAAAACCCATCTGGTTCACTAATGTCCTTTAGGTAATGAAATCTGCCATCCTTACCTGGTCTGATCTACATGTGACTCCAGACCCACAGCAATGTGGTTGGCTCTTAACTGCCCTCTGGTCAATAAATGCTGGTCTCGCCAGTTACAACCGCATCCCATCAACAAGTAAAAGAAAATGGTTGTGATTGCATAAACCTAGATGTAAAACAAAACCTTATATCTGTTCAGTACTGGGATCAGGTGAGCTGTACACTATGCCCACTCCAGTGTTACCAGGCTTTGTGCTCCTCAGTTCTGTCCAGCCTGTTGGACCTGCTCACTGCTGAGCGCTATTTCTGAGCAACATGGACATCCTGACACAAATTGTTCACTTTAAATCACAGTGCAGGGCACAACTGTGCAACAACACTTTAAACAGGAGCCATGCTTCAATAAATAACCTGTAAGTCCATAAGATATAGGAGCAGAATTAGGCCAGTCAGCCCATTAAATCTGTTCCACCATTCGATCATGGGTGATGTGTTTCTCAGCCCCATTCTCCTGCCTTTTCCCAGTAACCCTTGATCCTTTTGACAATTGAGAACTTATCGATATCTGTCTTATATACACTCAATGTCTTGGCCTCCATTGCCCTCTACAGCAATGAGTTCCGCAGATACACTCCATCAAGTCAGATAGAGGGATGGGGTCATTGGCTCAAAGCTCGGTTTTCTCAATATTAAACTCATGGGCTTTGCCCACAACTGATTTGAATCTATATTGATGATGTTATGCTAACAGCTCAGGACCAATACAAGGAACGGGACTAGGACTTGGGAACTGGGAACAAGAAACAGAACAAAGAATGTTCAGATTATCAGCCAGTCAGTCCATGTTGTTGTTCACCCTTCCTGTGAGCAGGTATTCACCCACCCTGTTCTGATATTCCTGTATTTTAATTATCTCACTGCACACCAGTTAACTCCAGAATGTGGAGACAGGAGGGTGATTTCGGCTGGGAATTTTCCATTTCCTGGCTTAAATCTCAGTAAAAGGAAAAGCCGCTTTCCCCTATACGTGTGGTTTCTGCTAAACAACAGACACACAGTGCAGGAGAAAGCAGGAAGTAAAGGGTTAACTATGACTTTTCTCAAAGAATAACTACTGAGAATGTGAGACAACAAGGTGCAGGGCTGGATGAACACAGCAGGCCAAGCAGCATCATAGGAGCAGAGAGGCTGACGTTTCGGGCCTAGACTCCAGCATCTGCAGTTCCTACTATCTACTGAGAATGTGCCCAAGTTCAGAGTGACATCAGATCACATGGAAATGTGGAGGGGTTCTAGGCAGTGTGTTCCCTTACTATGACACAGACATGGTTATGTTCAGGGAAGCCTGTTCATCTTCAGTCTTTCAAGCATGGACCTGATCTTGCTGCAGACACCTTGAGGAAATCTACCCACAGTTTCTGTCTCAGCCATTATATTCCAGGAAGGAAATTGGACAAAGAGTCATAAAGTCATTGACATGTTCAGCATGGAAACAGACCATTCAGTACAACTCGTCCATGCTGACCAGATACCCCAAATTACTCTAGTCCCATTTGCCAGCATATCCCTCTAAATCCTTCCTATTCATATACCCATCCAGATGCCTGTTAAATGCTGTAATTGTACCAGCTTCCATCACTTCCTCTGGCAGCTCATTCCATACACGCACTACCCTCTGTGTAAAAATGTTGCCCCTTAAGTCCCTTTTACATCTTTCCCCTTGCACCTTAAACCTATGCCCTCCAGTTTTGGACTCCTGCACCCTGGGGAAAAGACCTTGGCTATTTACCATATCCATGCCCTCATCATTTTATAAACTTCTATAAGATCACCTCTCAGCCTCCGATGCTCCAAGGAAAATAGCCCCAGTCTATTCAACCTCTCCCTATAGCTCAAGCCCACCAACCCTGGTAACATCCTTATAAATCTTTTCTGAACCCTTTCAAGTTTAACAACATCTTTCAAATAGCAGGGAGACCAGAATTGAATGCAGTATTCCAATCATGACCTAACCAATGTCCTGTACAGCTGCAACATAACCTCCCAACTCCTATACTCAATGCACTGACCAATAAAGGCAAGCGTACCAAATGCCTTCTTCACTATCCTATCAACCTGTAACTCCACTTTCAAGGAACTATGAACCTGCACTCCAAGGTCTCTTCATTTAGCAACTCTCCCCAGGACCTTACCATTAAGTGTATAAGTCCTGCCCTGGTTTCAAAAACCCTGTGAAGAGCTTTCTCCTGGTGTCTGATCAAATGATCTCACATTTCATTTAGTGACCCCCTGTTCTAGATCCCTCATCAACTGCAAATAAGCTTCTGTCTACCCTGTCCTGTCTAGTTTAAAACAACTCGCATTCTTATCTGCAAATGAAAACTGCTCAATTTTGCAAGACTTTCTTCATATTCCCATTTCTTGGTCCCAGATGGTCTTGTAATGAAGCTGCATGATACAATCTCAAAAGACTCAAGATCTGTTCTGGGAGCATGAAAACCAAACTGCAGACAGTCACAGTAAGATTTCATGAAGGCTTTGCATTTCCTCCTGGCTTCTTTAATGAGTCATTACCTCAAATCTACGCCACCACCAGCAATGGATCTAATACTGAAGAGTTAAACAGAAGTGACTACAGTATTAAACAGATGCACATTGTCATTTCCAGTCCCTTACATTCATCTATAAAGTTCTAAATGAATGTACTTTTCCCAAAACATTGGTTAGCGTTGCTTCCTCACAGTGCCAGGGACCTGGGTTCGATTCCACCCCCCGGGTGACTGTCTCTGTAGTGTTTGTACGTTCTCCCATGTCTGTGTGGGTTTCCTCCCACAGCCCAAAGATGTGCTGGTTAGGTGGATTTACCATGCTGAATCTCCCAGTGTGTCCAGGGATGTGTAGGCTAGGTGGATTAAGCATGGGAAATTTGGGGTTACAGGTACTGGGTGGAATCCCTTTTTGGAGGCTCAGTGTAAACCCAATGGGCTGAATGGCCTCTTTCTGTACTGTAGGGATACTATGATCCTAATTCTCCTCTGTCCTCAGCTTTGTTCAGGTGCAGGACCTTATATATTTCACCCATACACCAAGACTGAGCATGGGTAAGCTTTTCAACTGTGAAAGGCATCAGAGACACTTGTCTCCTGATGCTAGATAGCATAGAGAGTAGCCTTTCGTGTCATTTCAGGATTAATTTCTTCTAACAGTGCGTGGAGATGTTTAGGATTGGGATATATATGCTGTGTTGGTCGAGTGAGCCTTGAGAATCAGCTGATAGAATCATATGGCATAGGACAAGACTATTTGGCCCATCGTGTTCATGTCAGCTCATCGGAAGAGCTATAAAATTCATCCCACCACCCCCCTTACTCTTGACCCATAGCCCAGCAATTTATTTCCCTTTTCCAAGTGCAGCTCCAATTGCCTTTTGATAGCTCCTTCGGAAGAGGGTTCCAGGAGTGCTGTTCAACGTAGAAATGCCTGTGCACTCCTCCTCTCCCCCTTCAGCTCGTGGTTCCTGAGGTAAAAGCAGATACTCAGTAAGAGGGCACGTTAAAGTAAAAATCTTACGATGAGACAGCAGTCAGCACCTGGTCCATCGAAAGCATTGCCAATTCCATCATTGTGCTCCCCCTGGTAGAACGCCAAGCGGATGTCTGCAGGGCCATCCATCACTTCCCAGAAGGTCAGCGGCGATGCGTTACTCCACAGCTCAAAGGCTGTTCTCACCGCCATCTTCACCCGGCTTTGCTCCAAGTACTTTGGCCAGTTTATGATCTTGTACGTCAAGTGGTGCTTGTACCATTTCTCTCCTAAAGGGGAAGGCCGAGAAAAACATAAAGACGGTCAGCGCTGTTTTACTCATGTCGTCTTTGACCAGTTACCCCTTCAACCAGGAGAATGTGAATCCAGGCCAGCCCAGGTCCTGGCTTAAATAGAAATACTTGTTTATTGACAGCACGTTTTGAGACCTGAAGTTGTCCCAAGACACTTTGCAAACAATTAGATACTTTTGAAGTGCTGCAATGTGGGAGCCGTTGAAATGCAAGAGCACAGCAAGTTTCCACAACAGCGATGTGGCTCAGTGGTTAGCACTGCTGCCTCACAGTGCCAGGGACCCAGGTTTGATTCCACCCTCGGGCGACTGTCTGTGTGGAGTTTGCATGTTCTCCCCGTGTCTGCGTGGGTTTCCTCTGGGTGCTCCTGTTTCCTCCCACAGTCCAAAGATGTGCAGGTTAGGTGGATTGGCCATGGGAAATTGCCTGTAGTGTTCAGGGATGTGTAGATTAGAGGGGTTATAGGGGGATGGGTCTGGGTGGGATGCTCCAAGGGTCGGTGTGGATTTGTTGGGCTGAAGGGCCTGTTTCCACACTGTAGGGATTCTATGATTCAATGAGCTAAGACTACATAATACCATTCAGTGGTGTTGCTTGTGGGGTAAAATTGGGCAGAACACTGGAGAACCTGGTGGCACAGTGGCTCAGTGGTTTGATTCCAGTCTCGGGCGACTGTCTGTGTGGAGTTTGCACATTCTCCCCGTGTCTGTGTGGGTTTCCTCCGGTTTCCTCCCACCATCTGAAGATGTGCAGGTAAGGTGGATTGGCCACATTAAATTGCCTATAGTTTCCAGGGATGTGCAGGCTGGGCAGACTAGCCCTGGGAAATGCAGGGTTACAGGGATACGGGTGGGTATGGGTGGAATGCTCTTCGGAGGATGAATGTGGACTTGATGGGCCAAACAGCCTGCTTCTACAGTGTATTGATTGTATAAACTATTCCTCTCTTCAAAGTAGCACCATGAGGTCTTTAATAGAGCAAACTTTGTTTTAATCAGTATTTTATCAAGCAGCATTCTTCATAAACCAGCAAAAATTATATCTACTGCAATGTCCAAGTATTTATGCTGTGAATAAAGTATAACAGTGATGCGTATCCTCCCTGCATTACTTACCGTGTCTTTTACATTGACTTTTGGAGCTGTGTTGATGTTTTCACGCAGATTTTTTGAGGGATGTTGATGTCTTGAAACTTCACTTGGTCAGGGTTTACTGCAGTTACATGGACCTCTTGATTATTCGGAAAATTCGATCAAATGGTACACTCCTGGTCCCATAGGTGCTGGTTAATAAAACGTTTGCTGTATACACACTTAAAATGGCAGGTATCACTGCAATTTATAGGTGTAAGATCGATACTGGATCACGGCACATAGGGGTGGCACAGTGGCTCACAGCACCAGGGACCCGGGTTCAATTCCACCTTCAGGCAACTGTCTGTGTGGAGTTGGCACATTCTCCCAGTGTCTGTGTGGGTTTTGTCCGGGTGCTCTGGTTTTCTCCCACAGTCCAAAGATGTGCGGGTTGGATGGATCAGTCATGGGAAATGCAGGGATACAGTGAGTCTGGGTAGGATGCTCTTGGAGGGTGGGTATGGACTTGATGGGCCAAATGGCCTATTTCCACACTATAGAGGTTCTATGACATCAGATCAGCCATGATCTCATTGAATGGTGGAGCAGACATGATGGGCTGAATGGCCTAGTTCTGCTTCTCTATCTTATAGTCTTTACGTCTCATTTGAATGATGGCAATTCCAACAGCGTGGCCCTTGCCCAGTATTGTACCACAATACCAGCCTCGATTACATACCTCCCTGCAGGGACCCACTCTCTGAAAACAAAAGGGACATGTTCATGCCTTGTGCCCTTTTGAATTACCCAGAAGCTTGGGGAGCCGATAGAACACCATCGTATTCTCCATGGCAATGCCTCGACCAATCAGAGCCAACCAATCAGCACTCTTTTTCCCTCTAGTAAAAATTGTTGCGATCATTGGAAATTTAATATTCTTGCATGTGTCCTGATAAGTAGGAAAACTTCAATCAAATGTCCCATTGTTCCTCATCGAGTCCAAATTTATACTGAGCCAAGGATTCAATGACTAAAAGCCTGGACAAAGAGCTATTATTTAAGAAACATCTTAAAGGGGGTGAGATAAACGGAGAGATTTACAAAGGGGATTCTAGAGCTTGAGGACTGGGTAGTTGAGGGCACTGTTCCCAATAGAGAGGTGAAGAAATCGATGCTGCATGAGGGGCCAAGGATGGAGGAGTACAGAGTTCCCAGAGGATTGGGAGACATCACAGCGATTGGGAAGCAAGGGGCCATTGGTGAATTTGAACACTGGGTTAAGCACCTAAAAGTCAAGGTGATAGTGGACCACACCCCAGCATAGGTCAGTGGGCATCTGGGTGAAAGGGATTTGCTGAGAGTTGAGATGCAGAGATTTGGACAGGCTATAGTTTATGGAGGGTGAAAGAGATGTGTTGGAATAGTCAAGTTTGGGGGTAACAAAGGTATGGTCAAGGGTTTGGGCAGCAGATAACATGAGGCAGGGGCCTCCAAATTTCCAGATCCGTGCATAAACACCATCCCCCAACCCCTCACGTTGTAGAGACCCTGCTCCTCTTGTGGGGACCCTCCCAAGATAAATGGCTCAAACAGACCATGAGGTTGAGGGAACGGTATGAATGATACGGTAATGAGGAAGCAGGTTAGGAAGTTGGAGTGAGATAGCTCTGCTCAGAGCTGTGTGGACGATGCTGCATGTGTTTGTGTGAGGGTGAGGACAAGACTAAGTAAATGAAAAAGACCAAATTGGTGATCTAGCATTTGCAACATGTTTAACTGTACAATCAGAAGTGAAAATTTAACCCAACCTCAAGTGGACTGAAGGTTAGAGTTCATTTCTCTTCCATACTGCTGGTGATTTTAACATTCCTTAATTAACTTCAGAGCAACAACAAAAAATCCAGGCCAAAGACAGCTCCACAAAGGTTCAATCCCCAGCCCAAACACTGCACTTGGTCAATGTATGACAGCAAAGAGCAAGTGCTGGGGGATGTGACCCGAAATATCACTTCAACCATACAGTTCATTCCAACTCACACACTGGTATCTCAGATGTACCCTGGGACTAACACTCTCATTAATACAAACATTGGGCCTAATGAGCATTCTTCAAATATTTACAGCTCATTCCTTTCGCTGACGGCCTGCTTTCTGGGAAATAATTCCATTGCAATGTAACAGAACGTCTTTCTCAGAACCAGTCATTTCAAGTGGATTATAACTTTGAGTTATTCACTTTTCTCCCTTCGTTCATTGGGTATTATAAGTTCACCCCCTGCCAGGTTACAGTTTTGTAAGCACTAGCCACATTCCATAGGATTCTCGTTCATGATTGACAAAGAGTACTTGTTGGCTGATCGAGCAGAGTAGCACTACAGCAACTACAATCGTAGCCTTTTCCTGAGTTCCATCCAGCTGTACTTCCAGCCAAGCTACTAGATAGTAATAGTCATAAAGTCATAGAGTCATACAGCACAGAAACAGACCCTTCGGTCCAACCAGTACAGGCCGACCATAATTCCAAACTAAACTAGTCCCACCTGCCTGTCCTTGGCCCATATCCCTCCAAACATTTCTTACTCATGTACTTATCTAATTGGAGTTTAAATGTTGTAACTGTATGCACACCCACCACTTCCTGTGAAAGTTCATTCCACACACAATCCACTCTTTCTAACAAAAAATTGTCCCTCATGCCTTTTTTTAAATCTTTCTCTTCTCATTTTAAAAATATGCCCCCTAGTCTTGAAATCCCGCCCCCCTAAGGAGAAGACATCTGCCATTCACCTTATCTATACCTTTCATGATTTTACAAACCTCCATAAGGTCACCTCTCAATCTCCTGCACTCCAGTGAAAGAAGTACCAGCTTGTCCACCCTCTCCTTATAACTCAAACCCTGCATTCCTGGCAACATCTTGGTAAATCTCTTCTGAGCCCTCTCCAGCTTAATAATATCCTTCCTGTAACAAGGCGACTAGAACTAAGATTATCTAAAATTACAGTAGTGATTATGAGCTGTGGTACATCATAACCTTGGGGGCGTGAGAGATAATCGTGACTTAGTTTACGTGGCACAAGCAGTCCTCTCCCAGTTTATGGGATCTTCAAGAAAAATTGGGTGGCACAGTGGCTAAGTGGTAAGGGTCTCACAGTGCCAGGCACCCAGGTTTGATTCCACCCTCGGGTGACTGTCTGTGTAGAGTTGGCACATTCTCCCCGTGTCTGTGTGGGTTTCCTGCGGGTGCTCTGGTTTCCTCCCACAGTCCAAAGATGTGCAGGCTAGGGGGATTAGCCATGGGAAATGTGGGGTTATGGGGATACGGTGGGATGGCTGGGTCTGGGTGGGATGCTCTTCAGAGGCTCAGTACAGACTTGAAGGGCTGAACTGGCCTCGTTCTGCACTGTAGGGATTCTATGATTAGTTTCAGAGACCTTTTGACCTTTCTCAATACAGCTCAATTTAGCCTCCAGAAATGATACTGAAAGCCTCTTTTTGTCCCACCCAGGTTTTAGGCTGGAGGGGATGGGTGCGTGGAAGGGGCAGGGCACTAGGGGTGGGAGGGTGGTTGGCAGAGAAAGTGGGGTGAGACCCAATTAAACTAAATTCCACCATCCAATGTCCACCTTAAGGAAGTTCCTCTGTTATAAAAATGCTTTCCCATTGAAGGTCAAGGACTCTCATTTTGAAGATGGTATCCATAAGACATAAGCACAGAAGGAGACCATTCAACCCATCGAGTCTGCGCTAACTTTTATTGGATTGAGTAACAGAGAAATAATCGTATCCTTTTCCCTGAGAGTGACCAACTCTAAACCATGTTTGATAATGGCGTCTGCTAGAGTCCCTGGGGTAGCAGAGAGATTATGGTCCCATCAAACTGCATATTGTAACATCTGCCCT